CATTTGAGTCTGGGGTACACTGCTCAAATACAAATGAAGATCAAATGGCGGGAGAAAAAAGCTGGATCAGATTCTCGATTTTCTTCCTATGTTGGACTGTCAGCATATAAATGAGTTCTCGGAGTTGCATCCTGCAAACACCCTGATGGTCAGTGTAACGGTTGCCCCAGTGGTCAGGTGCTCGGTCCTGGTTGCCAGTGCTAACCGGCAGGCTTCTCTGTGAGGCACTGTGTAATTGGCCATAGCGATATTGCCCGTTGCCCCAGGTTTCAGCTGATAATCATCACATCATAGAAGAGCAGCTTCTGCTCCCCTCCTGTGTGGTTTGCACCTGAATGTCTGTTGGCTGCACACGGACACCGCCCCTGCTGAACCGATGAGCACATTTGGATCCTTCAGCTGGGGAAAGTTGGTTCTTATCTCAGCGGCCTAGTCGTGTCCTGTGTGGAGCGGAGGGCTTTAGCGCAGTGATACAAAACTCCTGCAGCTGAACTGCCCTGTTAAACCTGCGCCAGCTGGGCGTGAGGTGTCCTTTGATGTGGCATTCCTAAACTCGGGCGGTGGACTGCGGAGTGATCAGCATCAGTGTCTGGGGAACAAGTTAACTGAGGAAGCTGTAACAATCAGCCTTTTCATTCGTGCTGGGTGACAATAAAGGGATATGAAAAACAACTTTTAAAGGATTATAAAAATGCTATTAATCTGAATATTTAGCCAGGCTAGCGGTAAACATGACAGATGTGCCTTAACAGATGTTTCCAACAGGGAAGACCACAGTGTATTTTGAGCAGAAACTCCTCACTTGACATATTTATTGCAATAAAATGGGTAAAATATCCTGTGATCACCCAGGACCAAACTGTATGATGGTTTTAGGAATGCAGATCTGTCTTTGCTTTCACAGCGGAGTGAAGGCACTGCAGTGTCCACCTAAAGGATAATCCAGAGGGGTTCAGCTGTTCCAGCAACTGAGAAGTCTTCTCACCTCTGCCCCATTGTGTGCAAGCTGGTCGTTTGGAAGTGCCAGACACCATTTTAGATGCAGTCGGTTCCTCCATTTGTTCTGGCATTTGGTGCAAAGGTCAGGGTTATCGATTTCGCTGACCTCGTCATTCAGTCAGGTAGTAAGTGTGTGTGTGTGAGTGGGGCAGTGAAGACCAAAGGTGGATGGCATTTTAAAGAGAAGAATCAACTTCCACTAGGATGGTTAAAGCCCACACAATTGCAACAGTCCCTTGTCTCGCCTCATCCAGCATACTGCTGAAAGAAAAGGGAAAAAGTGAGATCACTTTCTGGAAGAGTTGGTATTCATAAATACTTTATTTGGGCCCAGGTTGGCTGTAGATACCACTGAATGTTTACATACAGAACTAGGGCGAGAACGCCACTCAGCTGACCTGACATACAGTGGTCTTAGAGAGATCAGACAACCGAAAACAAGGCTTATTCACTGCATAGATAGTGATGGGAAAAAGAAACATACCTGTGTATTCATATGTGACTGTCTTTGAATTCACTTTGGGTAGTTAGTCATTTCCAACAAAACCTATTTTCAGAATGAATTAGGCCTACTTGTACAAACAAAGGCGATACTGAAATCTATTATATACTGTAAATTATTTTCTGCTGTTAGACATGATACAATAGTAATTATGTACCACCGTTAAATCAAGCACCAAACAGAAAATCAAGTGAATGGCGTGACATAAACGTGATGTCGGACCTTCAAACGGATAAACGTAATTACACGAGACTGTTTCCAGCATGGGGACAGATACTCCTCCCCTGAGTGTCATTCGTGCCGTTTGTATTACAGCAGCTTTGCAATTTCATCGTTATCGCAGTGCCGGACATTCTCATTAGTTTGCTCGGGAAGAAAAGGAACGTGTTTGGAATAGTTTGCTCTTTTCCCGGCCGCGAAGTGAGCAAATGACAATTGAACGTAGAATAATTGCTTACTTTTTATATCGGTTGAATAATACACTTCACTGTTCTATTAGACTGAGGAAGGCCAATTTTTAATTGAAGTGTTATTCGTGTAGAATACGGAAGACCGTTAGCCTACTTCGGTATTGTCGGAAGGGTCAAGAGAAGTGTGTAATTCAGTAACATGCAGAACACACCGTCCCTGTTGGGTAAATAGAATTACTGGAGAACAAAAGCTTGTTCTGAGTTACAAAAGCCAAAAGGTCCAAAGAGATTTTCCATTCACATTTCTAATTAATGTTTGAATGGGTTTATTTAAGTACACCAACACTCACCCAAGGCATCCTATAAATTATATTGGAAGGGTTTAAATATTATTTATTTTTAACTGCTACTGTAATTCCAGTCTTTTAATTTGTTTATGGGCTCATCAAATGTCTACTACTGCCTTAGCAGCAGTAACAGTTTAAATGATTAGCTGAAAAAATATGATATGCAAGTGGTTTATTAAATGTTATCATCTAATCTAGCAGACTTCCGACAGCTAATTATGTGAAAGCTGTACTTCTGGAGGTGTGCTTTCACTTTATTGTAAACAAAAATGGTGCTGAAAAACTTATATGTCTGTCTGACTTTTCAAAACTTTCATCTCAATTATTCTGTTCATGGATAAGATTCATTCACTTGGCTGACTAGTTCATTTCCATGTAAGTATCTCACTCAGTTGCTAGCTTCCCAGACACCTGACAGCTCAGTCTGCTGAGTGGTCATTCTCGTATCAGTCCCTGCATGACTGGGGTTCAAGTCCTGGCCCCCACCCTTCCGTCTATGTCTCCTCCTCCTTTGTGTACCCTTTCAGCCCTCCCAAAGTCTTATGAAGAAAAAATACATAAGGAGCATGGCTTAAAAAAAAGATTGCTGGTATAGGCCTGTCATATGTAATTTATACATGGGGGTAGTCTTTTTATAATAGGTTTGACTATTTGAATCTTAGGAAAATCCTAAATGCTGTCCAAAAGTGTGAGGGAGACAGGATTTCAGAGCTAGAATGTTCCTGTCACGGGGGTCTCAGGTTGTTAAAGACGGTACTTATTGCATAGAGTAGGGGGTCGTCCAGTGTCCAGGCTTGAATTCCCCATCTGGGTCTCTTAATCAGCGACCCCCACTTTAATTAGCACAATGATTCCCTCTGATGTGTGTTTAGCATTCTGAGGCTAAATGACTGCTGTGAATCACCCAGGGTTTAGCTCACAGCTGCTTTGAGATCCCATGATGAAAGGCACTATATAAATGCAAGCCATTATCATTACCACTAACGCTCAGGTGTAAAAGCACAAGCTTTTGCAAAGAGGTGTCAAAGAGTCCCGTTGAAAGGAACTGATGTGTGACAGTGGTAGTAATTTAAATTTAAATGGGTTGTGCTCATATTTAAGCCCTTTTGGTTAAAAAGGTCTGAAGGTAAAATAATTTAGAAGCTACATTTGAAAAAGATCCACACATATTTTTCCAGTAAAGAAGAAGACATACATTTTGGCATACTGCCATGCTTAGTGTAACAGCGCAACTTGCTGATGGCAACCGTTTTTACCTTAAATTTTATACCCTTAGGCCTGTTCCACACTTCTGCTTCTATTCATTCCAGTGAGGTACTGGAGGCAAACCTTGTCTCTCACTCCAGTGCAGTGGTAGGGAAGGAAGTCAGCTACTCCCTTGAATGTGTGTCCATGTCCATTTTGCCACTGCTGCCAAAGTTCAACCATGTCAAACTTTTGTGGCTGGCTATTGGATATATGGGGCAATTAGAAAGGTGGGGGTGGAGCCAGTAGCCTGGCAACAGACAATGTTATGGAGTCACCCGTGTAAGGGCTGTTTATTGAAGGGATTACGCTGGGGCCTGAATATCCAGAGCTATGCAACAAGCAGAGCCTTTGGTTTTCAGTGATTGTGGAATTTATCATGGAAAATGACCTCATCTGCACAATCTGGTGGCATAATCTTGAATATTGACCTTTTTGCCTAATTTGTAAGGTGCAGTTTTCCTGCTCCACCACTAGATCTCAATATGCTGTCTTACATTGTCAAAATTGAAACCCTTTCTATTTGTTACTCAACTGAATGTAACCTAAAACAGAAAGCAGTGAGCTAATCGCTTGGATTCATTTGATAGCAAGTTAGACGGTGCTACTTAGCTAAGATAGCTGATTATCATCATAGGAAAACAAAACTCTGAGTTCAGGTGAGTAAATTACATTGTGCGATTTTATTCATGAATCTGTGTCAGTAAAGATGTGTATGTATGTACCAGCATACAACTTATTGATCCAATTTTAAAAGAGGACTAAGTGATAGGGGGAGGGACATTAAAGAATATAAAATGAGTAAAATAAAAAATAGCCACTAGCTGTTGTATTTCATCCTCTCAGGGGAAGAAGGAAAACACAATACCAATGCCTTAAAAAAGAAAGAAAATTTTGCACATTCAAGGATTTTTGAGGAAAAGACCATAATTGTCAACAAAAACAAACAAAAAAAGCCTCTTCAGGGAGGCACAGGCTGTCATAAGAAAGTGTAATGAAGATAATAGCTCATACCTGGGCCGACTGCTAGTCCCTTTCACTTGAGTCTACCTGTGAGTGGATGCTGCTGCTGTCCATGGTCCTGTAGGCTCCCCAGGCAGAGAACACTGAACACTGACAGCAGCCAATCAGGAGTGGCAGCCCTCTTTGCTCATATTCTCAAGAAGGCTGTCTAGGGGCATTTGACTGATCAAATAAAACCCAACAAGGAATAGGGGACCATACATTTTAGATTTAAACGGAAAGGAGACACAAAGGTAAAAAAGGAATTCAGTTGTTCTCAGTTAAAGTTATTTAATGTTGCCATTTTCTTTTTTCTTAATTTAGAATGGGCAGTTATGTCAATCATATCACTATGCATTGCTGGCAGAACATACTCAGACGTAACTTGTGGAACCCTTGCTGACTTAAGCCTGCTATAACTGATGGGGTGAAACTTCTGTCTACTGATTTTTCAAAAATAAGAAAATAAAGTATACAGAGCTCATTCAAGCCAGGCATTACAGGTGGGATTCAAACCCACAACCTTGGCATTCACAGCAGCATACCCTTATACACTGAGCCACTGTGTTTAGACTCATACTGCGTAGCTCACTCATTGGTAAGCCCTTTGTCGAGTGAAGAACTGATTTTCCATTACAGACAATCCATGTCTGGTTTCTCTGTGGGTGCTAGTGGGTGGAGCACCTTGATTGATGGGCGGGGCCTGTGTGAATTGGGCCACCTGTAGCTAATCAGCTACAAGGTTTATATGCAGGCCAGGGTGCAATGGGAACTCAGTTGGGAACCGAAAAGGTTAGGGTGGGAGCTCTGCTCCTGGTAAGGTTTGGTTTAGTTAAGTCCCAACTTAGTCAGGGTGGGAGCTTGTCTCCTGGTAAAGGTTTGTACAGTTAGTCTGACCAAGTGAATTGACTTGTGTCAGTTTCTTTTTGTTTTCTCTCTGGTAAAATTTAAGTTTCTTAAGGAATTGCCCCAAAGTGGGTTCATTTGTTTTCGTTTGCACAAGACAACCCTGACAGGAGGTATCTTAAGTTTCTTGAGAACCCTGAGTGATTGGATTTTTAAAGTTCACCTCTCCTCATTCTCTCCTTTTTTCTATTTGTGTGGGAGAGCTGCTTTTCAGTTATCCTCCCTAAATTCCCCGACTTGGTGGACACCAACGGTGTCTTTTAGAACCCATTTTCCCTCCGTTCAGATATAGTGATTATTTGTTTTCTTGTTAGTTCCCTGTAGGACATGAAGAGAAGTGGGAATGTAGCATGGGTGACAGGATTGATAGATTTTCATGACATTTATTCCGGCTTGATTTATGAAAAGACAGGAGTTGTAATGTGCTGCTTCCAAGCTGTCATTCAATAACTGCAAATCTGTCATGGTCTGCATATGAAACTGCTTGAGAGCCTTGAAGAGGAGCCTGCTTGCATGACATTAAACGGGTCCTCTGGAAGGTAATCGGGTTGCACTGTATAAAAATGGCATTAAAAAGGGCAGAAGGGACGAGATGTGAGAGTAGATCAGATTCTTTCGAGAATCCAATGCATGCTTTCTTTCCCCGATACCTTTACTTCCAACTTCTTGATCAATTGTTACAGGACCCTTGGCTGGGTTTCACATCCAGCAAAATGGAATAAAGTTGGTCTCGACTCTAATTTCCCCAGTGGATTAATCTGCTTATGCACTCATTGGCAATTAATCAAGGAAATCAGATGGCGTTACTTTGGACTAAATCAATTGTCTACTGATCAAATAAAACAATGGCAAAACGTCATGCCGGACATCAAGATAAGTGTTGCCCTGTCAAATTCACTATTTCTCTACCAGCTCCCTTCTCTGTGATAGTTTTCATTGTAATGCATTTTATCTTGATGATTAATCTCATTCATGATAATAAATGGTCATCATGTGTCAAGTCTGAATAGCAAGTGGAGCTTTTGTGAGTTCTTTGTCCCAGTCTTAACTCTCAAATGCATTATTATTGTGCCAAAACTAGATAAAAAAGATAATTACAACTAAACCAATCCTGAAATTGAGAATGTCTTTCGCAGGCTGTCAGATGGGTAAATTATGGAAAGCTGTGATTAAACACTAAAATTCTTCTGTTCCTGCGCTTGATGAAAGACAAGGGCTTCGAATGAAAGTGATAGCTAAAGAGAAGGAAGACAACTGCTGTGTTTAAAATAAAAAGCGTGCCTTGGTGTTCCCCACTGATAACTCACTAGGACGAGCTGGTGTTAATTTGATGGGGTTTTTTTTGCAGGCAGATGTTCCGTTGTTTTCACATTAATGATCGAGGGTTACGTTTTAATTTCTGTAAGACGCTGTCTCTGAGATGCAGGATTTTCGCCGTGAAGGAGGAAAAAAATAGCCTAATTATGTCTTGGAATGCGCACAGTGCTAATTACCGAAGCGCCCACAGAGACGTCTCATTCCATTCACACTTGCCGAGTTACTCTTGGTTTATAATTCCTTCACAAAGCAAATAATAAAAACACATACCGGGCAAATCAATCATCGTACTTATACATTATACATAAATAACTGAAACGAAGGCGAAGATGAGCAGGTTTTGTCCTGGAGGGTTTATTCGCTCTTGATCCAATTTTCCAGAGTGGGTGCCTTGCTGTGGTGTTATGACTCTCTCTCCTGGATTTTTACTGTATATAAGAGCATAAAACGGCCCCGTGTAGCGAAATGAAGAATGCACTTACAAGACAAATACTGACTTAACGTCAGGAATTCAGATAACGCACCCATTAGTCTCTCTCCTTATTTTAAAACGTCCAGCTTACTCTTGCCATTAATGGCACTTTCTAAGCACTTCATCTTCACCTTAATATGAGATGCACAACTGTATGTCATAGGGTCAAATTTAATGAAATCGTTTATTAAGCTTTAAAAAAATCTGGTAAGTTTAACACATGGACCGTCACAAATGTGGCTGGTAAACCCATTGTGCTTTCCAGTTGTATCTGTGCTATTACCAGATATCGATGTCTATTGTATAGACGTCTGCCTTCCTCTGTTATATTAATTAAAAACTGATTTTTTCTTTAATGTGGCGCCAAATATTTTGTGGTTCCAAGCCAAAGTTGTGTTTATTATTTTTCTAATTCCAGGGTAAAAGAAATTTCATTTAAACTTTACATGTAAACCTGGCACTACCAGCGCATGGAGTTGATCGATTGAGTCCTGCGGTTCCGCATATTACCGATGGGTGGAGCCCGCGGCGCGCCGCGCTAAGTGCCAATGAGTCTCTGGGCTTTGCACTCCTCAATGGCAGAATCGCTTGAGGGTTAGGTCGGACTTCAGTTGAAAAAGCCAGTTTCAAAAACAGTCACATTTCGTGTACATCCAACCACGAGACAAGAAAACGAATTAAATATTTCTTTGCTGGCGATGTCCCTGTAAGAAAAGTGCAGTAAAATGGGACTACTCTGAGCTTTGTCAGCATTACTGTCGATATAGAGAGAAGAAATGTGATGATTTCGCATTCACAGAATGTAATACCCGAGTCTACTGGAGGACAGTTGTTCACATAGTATGTTCTGGAAAGAAAAGAAACCCGAAAACTTATAAATCCTGCTCCTTTTTATTGCACAGGAAAGGCGGCGACAAAATTAACTGAGCCCAAACTGTCAGGAAAGTTGTGACCCAGCAATGTTGGACTTGGAATCAGTTATATAGCCTATACATTGTACTTGCAATTTAACGATAAAGCAGAGGTACGAGCCACTTCCAAATTTAGAGAAATTTATCACCATATATTTGGTGACGGGCATAATATTCAGCATTATAAATTAATGTCATGAAGTTTAAAACTCCTCTAGCTTTTAGACCATTCATCAGCACGGATTCTGGTGAGTCATCAGAAATGACATCTGCCATCCACACCAGATCGCTTAAATTTATGTATGCGCAGGTTACCTCCTCAAAACCTCCTCAATGTTGACTAATTTGTCATGCGTTCTCAATTAATGGAGTTCCCAGTGGCTAGCTGACAGTAAGCATTCATAAGCTTTATTAAGGATGGCTGATTCATTGTCGACAAGAACGCAAATAAAGTCGCATTTTCATTTGTAGTCTGGAATGAGAAACAGTGTGTTGGGTTTTTTGGCTAAAGCAATTAATTCATTTCGCTGAGCATTTGTTTTTAGACCATCTGACCACAGTCGATAGCTGGCAAACGGCAATCAGTTATTTACATTCAGTTGGAAATATGCTCCTGCCATTCATTACAAAATTCTGGGATATGATTTTCCCTGGAGAACATCATGGTGGTATTCTGTTTTTCTTTATTAACATTTCGCAGTGCTCAAAGCTTTCTTGGTTAAATGACTCCATCAGTGTTCTATAACTCCTATGACCTTTCAATTGATATTTGGCGTTTAGGAACATAATAGTTTTTGTAAAAAAAAATATATTAGCATAGGCTATACATCTTCTCTGTCATGTCTTTTTACAATACAATTGTTTTAAAACCAAAATTACTTTTTGAACGTTTAAAAACAAACACAGTACAATATAGATTACACATTACTGAAAATTATTTCCACGTGATCTAATGTATGATACAAGACATGGAAATCCTTCAGACAGTAGACTACAGTGGTAAGATGTCGATCATTAGAATTTTCAGAAACAGTACACTCATGAAGTGCAGCCAGTTTCCTAAATTAGGTCTTATGGTCTAATTTTGGGAAAGAAGATGCATATGTTTTAAAACCAATGGTTTTGAGGCGAGAAAGTGCTTTTAAAAAGCCTCAATATGCGTTACAACATGCTGATATGGGGAGCGCTAGTGAATGACCGTTTAAGCTAACAGGCTATAAGCGTGCTGAGAAGGCTGACGACAAACCTATCCTGGTGGGACACACTTTGTTGATTACCCTAGACAGCGCCAGATGGTTCCCTTTCCGAGAGAAGAGGGACCTATTGCCAATGTCCTGCGTGGCTACGGACTCGCACAGATAATATCCACGTCAGTCTAGTTTGATTAAGACGTTTTCAGCCCTCACTTGGCAGAGACAATTAAGCCTACCCGTCTCTTCGGCGCAGTTAAATGCTCTATGTTGTTTGTGTCACTCTGATTCATAGATTATAGTATTGTGGTATTTGTTTTTAATTATTGCTTGGTCGTGTTAGGAATATTTGTGTACGTAATTGCATTGAATAAAGTTAGAGGGCAGTGTAGCAGGGGATTTCATTAGCACTGCTCTGGCAAGGGGGCCTTTGATGAAACCATGGAAATAGGACAGTTTGGGTAGGGCTTTTTAAAAACAGGAGCTGCGGTCTTAAAGGGAAATATCTAGAATGGTGGCATTGGGGGGTGGGGTTGGGTCCTCTTTTGTCCTGGATATCCCAGGCCAGTGGTTCCCAAGGTTTGTCCTGGGGGCCCACAATTACATAAGGACAGCTGAAAGGTTTTAACCGGAGTGAATCAATGGGCACTTAATTGGAAAGATTGTGGACACTTGACCACTAAAACTAACCATTTGGTAGATAATGAAGGATTCAAAGACAAAGCTAATTATAGTGAGCCAAACCTACATTGTGTTACTAAGCATATGGGAAG